GAAATGTGGAGTGAAAAAAAAAAAAGAAAAAGAAAAAAAGTGGGTTTTGGCATTGGTGCAGTGTGTGTGCGTCACAGCTGCAGGCCGCTGTTCTGCTCATGAGACAGGGGGCTGATAACCTCTGCTGGTGACCAGAGGAAAATATCAGGAAGTGCTGCAGCACTGCTATTTGTTAAAGGCCATTTTAGCCTCTGCCACATTCCCAACAGTTGTACTCTCTGAGCTCGGGTTAGTTCAAAATCCCTGCTGTTTTTTGTGGCACCGATATGAGAATCTTTTTTTATTTTTTAAAAAAAATACAAGTTGTATAAGTTGGATCAAACTTTGGCTCCAGCTCCAGGCCTGCTGTCAGCGGATATGCAGCGAATACAGATGTTGCACCTAAAAAGTCAGACTCGTTCCAGACATTTGCGTGTGTTATGTCGGTGCTGTGCTGCTTACATTACAATGGAATGACTGTACAGTGCTGTGATTTAATGCTGCTGATTGGTCGCTGCAGTAGCATCTGACGAATGACATGCGGCTGCAGTAAAACGACAGAAACGTTACCAAAAGTTGTTCTTCCACTTGTGGTTTGTTGCATTGATATTTGTTTGTTTGTTTATATTGTCTTGCAATGCCTTATAAGCTCTATATTCTAGATTTTAATTACGAGAAATAAAAGAGAAACAGACGCGCGGTGTTTTTAAGGTGTGTAAAATATTATTTAAATATTTTTAAAGGCGGTATAAACTTTGTGAATCAGCTTTGAGTTGATCATCAAAAATTCAATAATAATTTTATTTTCTTTATGATCAAGTAAATAAAAAATACAGATTATTAAGTTATATTCTAGTGTGTTGATAACACGCGCGCACACACACATCCACACACACACACTCATAAAAATATGTTTATTATCAATATTATTCCTTTTTTTCATTTAATTTTTTCCCAAAATATTTTCGTCATGTTGCCGAAATGCTGTGCTTCACTTTTCGCTGTTTTCTTCAAAGTGACGGTCAAGTTCAAACGTTTGCGTCCGTGACGTAAAAAAAAAAAACCTTCTCCAATAAATGGCGGTTTTTAACGTGTTTATTTCCCAAAAAAGACTTATGGAAAAGGAATGACTATAATTGTGTATCATCTGTATGTATTTTTATTTCAGATATTTGAACATATATAAAACAAATATATATCTGAAAGAGATTCAGCCTAAATGTATTCAATACATTTGCATATAATGATTTTCATTTGGTCCTGTGTGGTAAAAAGTGCGGATAAGACCGAAAATAATATATAAATACATTAAATATATATGTGTGTTTCTATCTGTTTGTAGCTAAGACACATAGAGTCAATATAGTATATATTTATTGATATATAGAGAAAAGAAAACGGAGAGTATAAAGGCGTATATGTTATATAATTATTTCATACATATATATATATATTAATGACTGAACACGCTGGTTGTACATATATATGTATACATAATATATATATAATATGGAGTACGACATAGTATTGTGCGTATTAGGTATTTATGCAATGCATTTGCAGAACTTTTTTTTTCATTTTATTTGTAATAGTGCGCATACGACTCAACACTACACATGTATTTATTTATGTATGTATACATGTATGTATCTACGTATTAAATGCGAATATACACTGTGTGCGGTGTTACATTGTGTGCGTATATATTAACGTACACACAATATATACAATATACACAATATACAACTATGCTCATGTTGCTACTAAATACATTTTGACTGTGATTTGTAACATTCAAATTCAAAGTCACAACAATCTGTTGTTAATAACGTATTACACGCAAATATAATTGTATTTTGTGTGTATACTGTTTCTGTATATATTCAAACATTAGCACAACGCAGTCTGTAAACAAAATGATCAAAGTAGAGTCTTTATGTTTGTTTATGTGATTATAAGTATATTTATATATATGTATTTATTGTGCTTCTAATATAATCAAAAAACCCTCATATACACAAATACCAAAACACTGTATACAAAACAACATAGATTGCTTAAGTCCAATGGGAAATTTGCACTGAAACCCAATGGCAGATATATTTACTATGAATGTATTTGTGGATGTATTTCTTATTCCTTTTGTTTTTGGACACATATATTTCATATGTGTTCCGTTTTCCACGTACGTGAAGGCGTGCGTGCGTCTCAAAGACAGAACTAGTTTTATTTGGAGGTTATAATTCCTGTGTTCGTCGTAGTCACTCACAGTAGGTGTTGTGTGTTGTTGTAAACTGACAGCAGCCAATCCTTTCATGGAAACTACCACTGTTGTGGCTTCCTTTGGTGTGTGTGTGTGTGTGTGTATGTGTGTGTGTGTGTTTTCGCGAAGGCAGCTTTAAGAGGTCTGCACAGCCAGGCTATAACTGTGGCAACCTGCCTGCAGGGAATCAAAGAGAGAAAAGAGAAGAAAAGGCTTTTGTTAAGAATATTGCCCTGTCTGGACAGGAGCAAAGGAATCCAGGAGGGTAATTTCAATATGGAGCAGACAGTGTACTCGACAGTGACCTTGACAGTGCTATATATCTGTGCATGCTCCATTGACAAAGTTTCGTCTTTTAAAGGCAGATGTGGCCAAATCAGAGCAGACGCAGGGTCCGTAGCTGAGCTCGGTCACACATGACATCATCCCCGGAGCTGGAGATGCACTGAACAGGCGAGCAGTTGTTTGAATGTGAAATGCGGATCTGTGTGAGCGGTGGATCGGAGGCGTGGAGAGAACGAGGCAAAGGAGGCGCAACACATGGCCTCCTTTCTCCCGAGGTAAAGAGGCGACTTCAGCCCTGCACCGTGTACACTCTGCCACTTGATGCTAACATGTAATAATAACAACACCATAGAGCCGGGCTGTGATATCACGACGTCCCCAGACGATACTAGACGATACTACACGATACTAGGCGATACTAGACGATACTAGGCAGACGTTGTGTCGCACTGCGAGAGTGACTCGACTATAGATGCAGGAATTTGCAGTGACAGGAGAGAGAAAGTGAGTCCAGAGGACAAAAGTGAAGCCGCAAATTGATCCCAGAGAGCTGTCCCACTTCAAACATTTGATTTTTTTTTGCTCCTCTCTATTTAAAGCCACGCCGAGGCCCGCAGCCTGTGGCTCAGATGGGATGTACGGTCACAAGTGACGGATACTGCTATCAAATATCGTCCGACTTGCACACTCTTTCCAAACCAATGCTTAACTGAGTGCTCGTGTTCTCACATAACACTTGCTCGGCAATATTTGGTGCACATAACCAAAGGCTTCCACGCACGCACGCATACGAGCTGCTGCAATTTAGAGCACGGCCCTTAATCCACAGCTAGTTATCAGTTCATTAAGTTCAACTTTTCATCCTCTGTCCCTGATCCAGTAGATCTTAGATTTCCTCAGCAATGTCACAGATGATACAGACACAGATATATTTTCTTTAATCAGGGTTAACTGACGCAGCTCCTCATATACATACATGCATTATATGTATATAAATATATATTATTAAAATAGACTGGTTTCCCCCTGTTTGAGGCTGCTCTATTCCAAACTATTATAAATAATTTATATTATTTTTTGTTTCTATTTTTTGTGGTTGAAACTTTCTTAAACTGAGTTCAATATCAAGTTCAACGTGACTCAGTGTCTGAACTTGAGTAGATTGACGTCCTTATGCGAGCTTCACGGCTTCATTTCTGTTGTCCTTCGTCCAATTCCGTGTCATTGCTGAGTCCCAACTATTTGCCCTTGGTGTAGTCAGACTTTTTTTTTACGTGCCATCGTTTTGGAGACTTCTGCAGCTCGCCTCCTCTGCAGAGGTTTCGCGATCCATAAATTGATTTTTGTCTTTCTCGTGTGCGTCCGACATTGCATAGGGCGGTGGTAAAATTTTGAATTTATAAAGATGTAAAGTGCAGTTGCAAAATTTGTTGCTGGACTGATTAGAATGTGGGAAGCCATAAATGTTTGGAAAGATTTCCTGGGTGCATTTTGCAATTAATGAGTCGCCTGTGGGCCGCGACAGGAATGCAAAAAAATAAAATAAAAAAAATTAAAATAGTGTAGGTCAGTCCTGAGGGTGAGCAGGGTCGGCGGCCAGTTTGATGAGCAGTGACCACATTAGACATTCTTGTTGCGATTCTTGGCAGAACGCCTAAATAGCGGTTTTCTGCAGGAGACACTGCTGGAGTCCCATGAAAAAGTCCCGTCCTCTCAGACGGAAGGCCTGTCTCTGTCCCCCGCACCATTTCTTTTCAGGTGTCCTCAAACCTACACCTACAAATCTACTAATTTGCGAGATATAAAGCAGAGAGGCTGTGGGTTGATTGAATCACTAAAGTGCCCTCTGATATCTTGTAAAATTTATATAAAAGAATTGTGAGAGGTAACAATCCCAGCAGAGTTTTGCTGCGGACCTTTATTGGACGGATCTGTTAAAGTTGTTCATGTGAGGTGTGTTAGAGAATATTATGTGAAATATACGCTCTTAAAGTAACCTTGTAGAATATCGTGGTCTTTTTACAGAGTCACTGGTTTCAACCTGCTGACCCCGTTACTGTAAATGTGTGGGGCGAGCGCTGCAATGAGCATCAGTCTTTTCCTAAAACAAGCCTGTAAAGCTGGGGGACATCATGGCTTTATATGACGTGGGATTCGAACCATAATTTGTTCGAAAACAAGATGTCCATATGTCCTGTGTCCTACGAGAAAATAGTTTTTCTAAGAAAGGCTATTTAAAAAAAAACTTTTGCCAGCTTATAAAGATATATAACGAGACCATGGACAGTTCCATGAGTGTAAAAGCAGAAGCAGCCGGAGCTCCTTTTCTCTCTGACTCTGAGTAAAGAAAAAAAAACGAGATTCTAGAATTTTAATAAAATAGTTTATGGTATTTTTAAAAAGCGTATAAACCTCTGTAATACAGAAGTTAATGTTTTGTTTTGTTTTGTCTGAGATTGACCAAGTGGGTGGTACCATGTGTAACACAAGTTAGTCTGAGCACGTGGTCTCGGGATGACCAATCAGGCGCCCCTCCAGGTTTAACTATGTTAAATGTCAGATTGCAATAAACTAGAAGCTGTTGGTCGGGCCCGCGGAAATGGGCGAGCATAATCTCCTTAATCCAGGGTTTGTGGGACCTTTGGTTAACATCCACACTGGAGACACGTTTTACTTTCCGAATTTTAGAGCCTCAGGGGGACAACTGGCGGGGCTACCGTCTCTCTCCTACCCGAGAAGGGACAATGTTTGCTCCCTCCCGTGGAATCCTTCGGAGCCGTGCAATGGATACTCTCAGTCCTACTTTAGCAGCCCCGTGTCTATCAACCCTCCGTTCAACCGGTCGTGTGAAATCAGCAGACCAGACGAGGGTAAATGTTACTACAACAACAGCGGCAGCGGCAACAGAGAGACCTGTTCAGGTGGCGGCAGCCTCAAACGGGAGGATAGGGCGAGAGACACATCATCCCTAACATCTGAGCACGGGATGCACAGTGGGATTGGCAACACCGCTGCCTTTTCCAAATACGAGTATGGCAGCGAGCAGCTAACGCAAGACCCGCCATCCTGTCAGTCACTGGAGTCCGACTCCAGTTCATCTCTGCTCAACGAGGGCAGCAAGCCCTCATCCAGCGACACACAGACCCTGGTGTCACCGGGAAGCCATTCAGGCAACATAGCTGCAGGCGGAGGTTGGTGCTGTTCTGTTTACTCGCACTTGATTTTTTTTTTATTTGATGTTATTTAAAAAAAAAAAAGACTGAGTATCTCGTAATCCGCTCATTTTTTTTAAATATGACTGAGTATCTCGTAATCCGCTCATTTATCGGCTAATCTGCAAAAGCTGCGGCGTTCAAACCGTGTTCAGATCCCGTTGTGTTGATGCACAGTTTACAGCTCAGATTAGCCTGCAGGATACTTGCGTGGTGAGCAAACGCCGCTAGGGGCTGCCCTAAAATACTCCTACACCACGCCATGTGGCTGTGCAGAAATACAGATAAGCTGAACCACAGCACAGTGCATGTCAGTGTTCCCAGTGACCTCACGGTGCAGCAGTGTTTTTAAGCCCCTGTGATTCGGCCACTCTTCTGGCTGGATATCGTCGCTCTGTTGTTTCACTGTGTCTAGTCACACGTTCTTGCAGTAGATTTAAAGGGCAGAGCCGCTGTGCTGAACTCCAGCGAAGAGTGAGAGTTTTCCCTTTTAATGACTTGTAAAGGGAATTAATATCTGTCTCTGTGTGTGTGCGCCGTCATTTAATATGCTCCGAAACTCGCATATAAAGCAGGCTATGCGTAGCACGTCTTAATTATCACGTTAATGCTACTTTAACTGCAACAATAAACTTCCTGCAACACAAACAGCTGCATATGCTGAGTGTTACAGACCCTGAGAAACAGGGTCAGAATTTGCACACATTTCACGGAGAGGATTTTTTTTTGCAAATAATATTCACAGTAACAACAACAACAAAAACAGACAGATTTTAATGTCTGTGGATTTGTTTTAAGAAGAGACCGGGCAGCCCAGAGTGCAGAGACCAAAACAAATTCATTTCGGTTGCGTGTGAAGTCAAATGCAGCTCGTCAGGCGTTAGAGCGGCTTCAGTTTTTTTTTTTTAATAAAATCACCATCTGGGGTGTTTGACTAAAGACACTAACGTTCACTGGTGGAACACTTGTTACATTTCCACGTAGGCAGGTTTCCTGCCCGAGCCCAGCAGAGCCCACGTCAGTCTCTGTCTACAGCGTGTTGCTAGTTTAGATTTTTTTATTATTTATTTTCTGCTCGTGCTGCAGTGAAACGCTTTATTGCATGTTAAATCCACGGACGCCGGTGTAGACAGGCCTGTTCTGGACAACTGACGCCCCAGTGGGCTCCTCATAACCTTGGATGTGACCGTGATTTTGCTTCTGTGGTGACTAATCCGTGGTGTGTGCCCCTCCACCTCCAACACCCCCC